CAACATCACACAGTCTGAGTACGGAAATCGAAAAAAAAAAAGAAAAAAAAAAAGCATAAGCCCCCCCACCCCCCCAAAAAAAACAGGAGACTGTGAATCTACAAGGTGCACTGGAGTGATACTGAATGCAGCTTTGCTACCAGCTTTAATTATAGTGTGATAACATATGATTATTGACATCCATTATGTCGTAACTTATTCGCATTCGCCCGTTCTGTTTAAGATGCGTTGCCGTGTTTTTGGCAACGCAAAGCTGCCCAGCTTCTGGTGAAGCTGCTGGGCAAACTAGCAAACAGCTAAAGATGCTTCGGCATGAGGAAGTACAATATGGACAATGTTACATATATACATATATATGTAGCCCATTTCCTACACACACCTGTGCACGGTGGCTCTGGATGTTTCTACTCCAGACTCAGTCCACTGCTTCTGCAGGTCTCCCAAGGTCTGGAATCGGCCCTTCTCCACAATCTTCCTCAGGGTCCGGTCACCTCTTCTCGTTGTGCAGCGTTTTCTGCCACACTTTTTCCTTCCTACTGACTTCCCACTGAGGTGCCTTGATATAACACTCTGCAAACAGCCGATTCGTTCAGAAATTTCTTTCTGTTTCTCACCCTCTTGCTTGAGGATGTCAGTGATGGCCTTCTGGACAGCAGTCAGGTCAGCAGTCTGACCCATGATTGCGGTTTTGAGTAATGAACCAGGCTGGGAGTTTTTAAAAGCCTCAGGAATCTTTTGCAGGTGTTTAGAGTTAAAATAATGAACTTTATCACAATATGCTAATTTTTTGAGAAGGACCTGTATTTTCCAAATTTCATGTCTTTCCTTCAATATTTGTGAACAAATATGAAGAAAAAAAAAATCCAGCCTCCGGATGTGGAAAACCGCAGGAGAAATGACCCAAATATTGACCCTCTACAGCTGAATACACGTGCATGCCACACTTTTCAGACTTTACTTGTAAAAGTTGTTGAAACAATGTATAATTTTCCCTTGATTTCACAATTGAGTGCTCCTTTGTGTTGGTCTGTCAACTAAAAACTAAAATATTAAATGAAGTTAGAGAGCTAATGAGACTCAATGTGCAAAAGTTACAGGGTTATCAATGGTATAATCAAAACCGTGATTATATTCTAAAACAATCAAATTAAAAAAAAGACTCGTACCTCCATGCAGATCTGGTAGAGCACCAAACAGGCTGTGTGATGGAAGAGACGGTTTCTCTTCCAGCTGAACTCAACACTGTCCTCTTCCACCTGGTGGAGCACTGAGGCAAAGACAGACACACAGGACAGGCTTTATAGGCTTAATCCAAGCGTAATCAATCAACTTTTATTCCCAGTACGTGAATTCTTACCTTTGATCTTGTAGAAAGTCTCGGGTATAAAAGCCTGAATGGCTTTGAAGCGCTCCACCACAAATCCCAGGGTGGGAAACTGACAGCTGCCGTATGAGATCAGCTGATTGGCCAGGGACTCGGGGAAGATCTTCTGCAGGCGAAGCGTCTGGAACCGGGTAAAGGACGCGCCTGACGACGATCAGCAGACGGACAAGTGGAAAGTCATCAGACAACTTATGATGAACAACCAGTCCCAGCCGTTCTCATATTTCCATGCTTAACGGGAGTGGGCGCCGCCGCCTCACCTATCCGCAGATCCAGCTCCTGCCGGACATCGACGGCGTCGCTGATGTTGCGGTCGGGCTCCGTCAGCGTCTCACACGCTCTTCGAATCGAGTTGGGAGTGATCTCCGAAAACTTCGCTCGAAAGATTTGCAAATTCGGCTTCACTAAAGAAAAGAAATATATATATATGTATATATATTTAGATATTAGTATTCAGAGGAATAATGTGCAAAAGTAGTTTGTGGATAAATACGAACCTGCTTTGCAAACGTCAATGATTTCGAAGCCAATGTTTTCTCCCTCCCGGTCACAGTCAGTCCAGATGACCAGAGCCTGGCACTGCCTCGCTTCCTTCTCCAGAGTCCGCTACCGAGAATCAAACACAAACATTTGACCTTTTTTAATTATACAATCAAGTTATGTTATGTCATTTCACAGCTTAAAAAACTTTAATAACCAAATGAAAATATTCCAGGTGACTTTCTGAAATGTAGGACTGAAATACAAATAGTTGCGTATTTGAAGCTAGTTTTAGTTCCTCTCTTCATATTAGTGGTTAATAAAGTTTTATTTGATAAACTGTAGGATAAAGAGAGTCAGTCGCTCTGAGTATAAATCCCATTTCTCTAAGTTATTTTATGGTCACATTTTCCTTATTAAAGTCCAGCTTTTGATCAGCGCCCTCTAGAGGTGACTGCAACAGAATCTTGTGCCAAGACTTTAAAAACAAATGATGGTTACAAAATTTATTCTGTAACAGTTTCTGCTGTATGTACAGATGTTGTGTAAAGTTCAAGATTTTTCCTCCAGTGTTTGGAGTTGTTGCTGCACACTTTGGCTCAGCTGGCTGAAACAAGGCTCCTTATAACACTAAAAAATATGGGTTCAAAATAAAATCTCAATTTTTTCTTTTTTTTTTTTCTTTTTTTTTTTTTTTTTACCAAATTTGGTTTCCAATATTAAAAAAAAAAATTCTCACTTTTTTAAAAATGTTGTAAATGACAGAAAATATCTTAAAATGGCTTTTACTTCAGTAATTCCTTCTATGGGGTTGACCTGAATTTGTAGTCGAAATAAACTGAATCTGTAAAACATGTTTGCTAACAGCACTTTGGATACCCAAGAAATGCATTGATGAAAAAAACAAAAACATAAAAAATTTCCAAAATTTAAATAGTCAAAAACAGAATAACAGAATGTGATTAATCGATCAAATCAATGTAATGCTCACCCCTAATCCCATGCTTTTTCTTTCCTTACAAGACAGACATTGGCTATTTAAAGAAATTAAAGTGACATGTTTTAGTGTTTTGTTTTTCCTCTCAGTTCCAGCCGTACCTTGATTTGAATCATGTTGTCCGGGCAATACTTCTCTACCTCTGCATCAAACAGCAACACGGGACTGCAGCTGTGCCTTGGAAGAGAAACGAGAAAACTTCAAGTGTTGAAACCCTCCGTCGAGGTCGCTGTAGGCAACTAAAGGCATATTCATTTCAACTTACCATTTCTGGAAAGGCGCTTTGAACTCCAGACCCAGCAAATGGCCTGACACTGAAGTCATTGTCACTGTCACATTCTGAGATGAGGACAACAATCAGAGAAATCTGAGAGAATCACAATCAGATATTCAAATGCATGGGTGGGTTGCTTACCTGGCCAAAAAGATTATATTCGTACTCGTATATTTTATTGAACTTCGAAAATCCTTCTCTCTGCAACAAAGAAACCTATAATGAGGTGTGCTGACAAAGAATAACAAGTCAATAGTGTTGTCGCTACAAAACAATGGAAATAATGGGAGCTTTCTTTTACTTTCTCTGAGGTTATATCAGATTACAGTGATACTTAAAAGCTTCAGTAACAGTGAAGGTCTGATCGGCGGTGACTCACCCTCCTGGCTCTGCCGCCAGACATGATCTCAGAGATGCCTTTGGCTGCGTCGTTCTTCTCGGCCACGCAAAGGACCCGCTTGATCTGAACTCGGCTGCGAATCATGTCTGCCCCCTGCGCTGCGTCCGAGCACCAACGGCTCCGTGTCGCCCAGAAAAAGCCCGTCCTCGCCCGCAGTAGTCCCGATCGAAGCGTGGATCTGACTAGGAGGTGCGCTATGAGCATGCCTGGCCCGCTGTCACATGAAGCAGCAGCGGCTGCCCTCGGACTCAGCCTCACCGGTTCTGCTGCTCCTCCGCTCGGTTAGCATCTTAGCTAGCAGGGATGGCTAAAAGCATCGTGGCAGCTCTCAGAAAGTTTCCCAGACGGCTAAAAAGTTTTATACAGTTAAATAAATTAACTTTTCATTTACGGGAAATCGATAAAGAAAAGAAAAGAAATAGAAAGTTGTATAGACTTGTTGATATAATGAACCGATTCGAGCCCAACTAAAGTGACACAGCTTTGTTTACAAAATCCGCGCCTGACAGTCAAAATTGCCGTAAAGGAGACCGTAAAAGTGTCGTAAAGTCCCCAGTGTTGTAAAAAGTTGAATTGAGGAAAATTAATAATCCCCTTTTCATTGTATGTGATACAATAAGCTTACTAACTTTTTCCCTGTGTTTTTAATAATAGCTAGGCATGAAAAAAGTACATCGAATGTTGAAATGTGTATGTATATATAATTTAATTTGTTACGTAATGTTATTTGAGAACTGCAAGGTATAGAAAGAATTCCGTTACACTAATGTAGTTTTCTAAAATGAACACTTGTAATAAATTCCTCAGCCTTGTTAAATGTGTTGAGAAAAAAGTTGTATCACTGTTTCATTATTATTATTATTATTATTATTATTATTATTATTATTATTATTGTTATTATTGTTATTATTATTATCCAAGACTCAGTCTAAAGTTGTTTTAAATTAAAGTAAATCTTGTCCCTTTCTCTCCTAAATTTTAATTTTAACTCCATTCAGTCCTGAGAGGAAGACGTTTTTCCTAAAGATGCAAGAGTCTAAAAAAGGCATTAAGCTAACTCTATAACGTTATATTTTCATTACTAAAATTTGCAATTTTCACTTAAGTGAAGTGTAAAAAAATACATTAACTACATGTAACAAAAATATTAGAAAGAAAGATAAAATTGCGTTTCAGTCAAACGATAATGACCAAAACTAAACTAAAACGTGCTGTCATTAACACTAAATTCTCTACACGTTGCGCACTTACGATGTCTGGCCAGTAGGTGGCAGTGAGTGGTGTGACACATTGAAGTGAAATTTGATTTGTAAGTAAAACATCAACAGTTTGACACAAGGACTAAGCACGTTGGTAGATGTCTTATGCAGCGGCCACCAAGTATGAAACGGAAAAACCAAACAAAACTTGCATGTTAATTTTCTACTACTGTACTCCTTCACTGTATATTGGGTTATTATTGTTTTTCATGGAAAGCAATGTATTAAAATCCATAGTACATTGCAATAGAACATATTTAACCTTTAATAGAACACATAGCACACAGAGGGTGTTTAGCTGTGGTTTATTATATTATCAGACTTTATTGTATGCATGTTTTAGTTTCTGATTTTTTTTAATTATTATTATTTTTATATAAATTTTTTCATAATAGTATGCTCAAGATTTCAGTCCTTCATTTGTTACACACGTTTAGGAATAGAGTAACATGACAAATGAGCACATTTGCATTGCATATTTGAAGCTGTGTGTGGGATTAATTGTATAGGAGAAGTTCTGGTTTTGCCACTTCTAACCTCTAAAATGCTCAAACATCATCACTTTATAACTTCTGCCTGTCAAGAGGAAATGTCAAGTAAGTTCCTTTCATTTAAAAAAAATGATTCTGTGTGTTTGATGGTTAGCTCAAACACATTTATTTTCATTTTCATACAGCTGTATCACTTACAGTACGCGTCTCTTAGCTCTTAGTTGTTTTTCTTTAGTGGAAAACAAAGTGGAAATAGATTTGTTTATCCATTTTAAAGATTATTTCTGTTAATATTAAGCAGCTGAAGTAAATATTATGAAGTACAGGAACCTCCAGACATGTCACAAAGTCATATTCTGAATTTTGTGCTCTTTGTGTGTGAGTTTCTGCTCCTTGATATTTGATAAAGGTTATTCTGAAATAACCTTTATCAGTGTGGCAACCTGTGCTCACTCCATGTTTTCACAAGCTAACACGCTTCATTTCTCCCACATCACATGCTGTCCTGTTTGTCTGTTTCACTTCTCATTTTCTGTGTAATCCTGCACAGAAAAATAAGAAAGTAATCAAAACCTGATTTATTTTTAACCTGTTCTTATTTGATTGTTCAAGCTCTCTCTGTTCAGCCACTTACTGTTGACCTGTGAACCACAGAGGGTATTTTTCTGCAAGCCAACTAATTTTTTTTTTTTCAAAACAAGTCACTTTGAAATCCAATATTTACGGGAGCAAAGAGAGTTAATAGAGTTTTCTGAGTTTATTAACTCAGACAAACTCATTGTTTGCCACGGTTTTAAAGCTCCCTAGAAACTGTTAGCTGGAATACTGATCTAGTAAATTAACTGGGTTGTGATTTCTTCATCAGGCCCTGCTGAATATCTTGGCTTGATTTTTTTCTTGTCTTAGTTCCTATTAGTAAATAGGTTAACCTTTCTCCTTATTTACACTTGCACGCTTTCCTCAGTTTGAAGCCCAGAATAATAACACGTCTGACAGATTTAAGTTTAAAGTAATCTTTTAATTTTACCAACATGTTTCTTTAAACTGGAAGTAAATGTCTTTGTTGAAGTCCAGCCAGAGGTCTTGCTTGACTTTGCCTCCAGTCTCAAAGACTTTTTAGCTCACCACCAAAGATTATTTGTAAAACAAAAAAAGAAAGAAAGAAAAAAAAACATTGAAAACATGCAAACAAAAGCTGGTCATCAAATACAAGAGGAATTTAATTGCTTTTGAACTAACAAATATATTTATATTCATGATTAAGAGGGGTGTAAATTATTTACCACGTGCTTCTTTGATAATAAAATGCAATTAAAACGAAAAAATAATTCTTCAAAATTTTTTTGAAATATTATTATAAGTAATTACACTAGAAATTAATATTTCTGAATTTGTTGAATTAAAAACAAAATAAAACAAATCAACATTTCCGTTTTAGGCGGAGTTAGTTTCCCCTCGATGGGCGGAGTTTTGGTCACATGACCAGGCAGCGTCCAGCTGGGTAATCATGGCGGCTGTCTCTGGATGTGAACGGCAGATGTAGCGTTTTTCTCCGTAAACGATGTCGTTTGATCGGCGCGCCGGACTTTGATACGGACGCCAGAGAGCGGAGGGACGGCAGCCCCACACGGGGGCATGAAGAAGAGGAGGACGGACGCTCCTCTCCGAGGCGGCTGTAGCATGAAGGCTCTGCAGGCTCCCCGGACACTGTGATTACTGAGGAGGGCTTTTGTCAGCCAAGGCGCTGGATGGCATTTTTTTTTTTGTCGAGTTGATAATTTGTCTTTTTAATTGGCGGAGCTCTTCTCGCAGATGTTGAGCTAATTTGGCGATTAGAATAGGTTCTTTGGAGCAGCTGCATTGTTCAGTGGAGCAGCTTCACCTTATTGAAGGTTTTACTACAGTGTGATGATGGCCAGTCTGAATGGACTCTCTCTCTGCTGTCCACACACGGCTTTTCTATGACTGTTTGTGCTTCTGCTGCTTCTCATGCCTCCCTCAGTAATAACACTATGATAGGCTCCCCAGATGTGGTAGCTTTCACTAAAGAGGACGAATATGGGCAGACAAGTCAAGACCCTCTGGATCTCCCGGAGGAGTTCTCCATACCCCTCTACCCGCTGGCAGACTCCAATCCCTGGGCCAAGACCTCCTACGCCAAGTTCACCAAAGACTTCATCCTCATCTCGGAGTTCTCAGAGCAGGTGGGCCCCCAGCCTCTCCTCACCATCCCAGGTGATCCCAAAGTCTGTGGCACCTTCGACCTCAATTACTTCTCCCTGCGGATCATGTCCGTGGACTACCAGGCCTCCTTCGTGGGGCATCCGCCTGGCAGCGGCTACCCGAGGCTCAGCTTTGTGGAGGACTCCAGGGTTGTCCTGGGAGACTCGAAGGAGGGAGCGTTCGCATACGTCCATCACTTCACCCTGTACGACCTGGAGGCGCGGGGCTTTGTGCGGCCGTTCTGCATGGCGTACGTAGCAGCAGACGAGAAGAAAATCATGCTCCAGTTTCAGGAGCTGTCCCTCCGCTTCTCACAGGCCTCGGAGTGTCTGAAGGCCGGGAACAGACGAGCATTCGCCAAGGAACTCCAGAGGAAGCTCCAGGACCTGGAGTAAGAGCTTTATTTCAAATTTTACTTGTAAACGTCTTGTTCAGAGGTCTAAAATTAGATTTTTAGATGAGGTCAAAGGTTCAGAACAACCAGTGATGAGGGTCACTTTGTGTCATCTCAGTGAGATTAGGGGTAATCCGCTGCTCGGCCAACTCAGATTCTCCTGAAACTTTGTAGCAGTGACCTCTGCAAGCTAAAACCATCTTACCTGAAATTCTAACATTTTCACCATTCATCACCATGTAAATTTTTTAGAATAAATCACAGCGTGGAAAGAGAAACAATTCCACTTTCTGACGCATCTTATGTCATAAATCCATCTCTGGAGTCTTCAGTTTTCAGGAGATGTTTAGATGTACTTTCTGAATGCAGTAAACACATGGAAAAGTTGTAGTTTTTTGTGTAATGCCTCAAATTCAGGATTTGTCTAAGACTTGTCTAAGATTTGAAAAATATTAGAAAACATATATGTAATAAACTGTCTTTTAGCTCATTGTTATTGTGAGAATATTATGGAAACATCACCAATTCCCAACACCATAATGTTAGTAAAAATTGAAGTTATGGCCAACTAAAGTTGACACAGTTAATAAAATAAATTAATTATCTACTTGTCCGCTAAGTTTCAGTACCCTTCTACACTTCCTTTGGTTTTCAAAGCTCTTAACTGGGTTTTTCAACAGCACTTTTCCTGCTATCTGTGTTTTACACGTTTAATAATTTATTTCTAGAGGCCTACTCATCTTGGCACATTCAGCTACAAAATATTTACGAAAACTCCCATCTTGTTTAGCCGTGGAGCTTTGCACAAGTTGAAGTTAACTAGGCTGATTCTAGTTCTGTTGTGAATTTTCATTATTCTTGCTGGAAGTAGAACATTTTGTTGGTTGGCCAAGAATAAAATCACAAAACTCACCAAATTCTTGAGCATTTCCCAGTTTTTTTATGTCCAAGCTTCAATGTCGTTCACATTGTGTGGCTCACAAGCATCAGCGGTTTCAGGATTGACTCGCTGTTTTGTCCGCTTATGAGTCTGGATTTTGAGAATTGCTGCCATGAGGTGGTCTATTTTTTTTTATTTACACTAACTTTAATCTTTCTTCTTAGGTTTTCTGTGAGGATATAACAGTAATGATGTGCTTTCTACAAGGTTTTAAAGATGAAGTGAATACCTGCTTGGATGAACAAAAACACGTTTCATTGTCTTCATTAATATAAAAAAAAACAGGCAAAAATCCAGCAAATGCATTACCTTAGCTGAATATTCACGAGTGTCTCCATGATAATCACAGGTTTCAGCTGCTTTTCAGTGCCAGCCTACTAGTTTTTAATTGTTAGAGATGCATCAACACAATGTAGAAAAAGAAAGGTCGATGGAGTTACTTGGCAGAAGCATTTATTGCAGCATTAAACTGCAAAAGGCTATTAGGTGATTTCCAAACAATGGAGTCCATCATCATTGATCCCTGAAAGATTATCCCCATGTGGGAAACGTTCCAGAATGCCACATATCAGCTCCCAGGGTCAGAGGTTGAGTTTAGGTAATTAAAGAAGCTGTAAAAAAACAACAACAAAAAAAAAAACATCAGTAAATGAGATAATCAAATCTTGTCCTATCTAAGATAACTAAGATTAGTTATCTTAGATAGGAGTCCTTCGAGTCTCCCAGGACAACCCGGGAGTCCTCCACAAATCTTAGATCTAAGCCTGTAGATATGAGACAGAGTACTCTACTGAAAACCACTCAGTTATGAACTATTAGAGTTCATATCAGAATGATACGTATGAGTTAGTATAGCTTGTAAAAAAATTAACTGCTCAGATGTCCAAAGTTTCATTTTTAAACAAACCACAAAACGTCCTGACCAATGTCTGCTGAACAAACACAACCAAAGCAGACCAGTTGGATCACGATGGCAAGTGTTAAATGGCGAAAACCCAAACTCTTACCAACTGTCAGAATCAAGCTTTATTTGCCAAGTATGTTCACACATCCAAAGAATTTGTCCTTGCTTACAGAAGCTCACAGTGCACAGAGAGGAACAGTACACACAATAGACACCGATGCATCCTAACACACTCGCACAGATATACACACACCACCTTACATACCTGTAAACCTTTATAGAAATATAAAATACTAATTTATAAACAAATAAATAATCAATGTCAAACACGGGGATAGCAGGGTGATGATTTGGGCTTGTTGCCACAGGAGCTTGGCACCATCCTTGAACTGAGATGACCAAACCTTTGGTCATCTCCAATGACCAAAGGTTTGGTCATTGGAGATGACCAAACCTTCCTCCAATGACCTGCTTGAGATCAAGCAGGTCATTGGAGAAGATACTGATCTTCTCCAATGTGAAGATAACTATCCGACTGGCCTTATTTGCCCCCTTGTTAGTTTGTAGGGTAAGATGTTATGTCGAAAGGCATAACCAACTTACTGAAGGTTGAGAATACCTTTTTTCCGGTATAACCAACAATCAGTCAGCAGACTACCACTGGTATTTTTAGAATGGTGCCATTCCATGCCTATTACTGCATCTGTTTTGTTCTGCTTAGGTACACCCACTCTGTGCTGCAGCGGGAGGAGGGCCTGCAGAGAGAGGCGGGGCCTCAGTGTGTTTACTCTGCCCATGCTGTAGAAAAGGCCAATGAGCTGGCCAATGTGGAGAAGAGCATTTACGAGCACAGAGACCTTCTGAAGCAGATCAGTGCCTACCATAGGCGACCACGGCGGGATCCGCACGCCGTCTCGTGCCAGAAGTGCATGACCGAGTGCTTGAGAGAGTGTGAGGAGCTGTTGGACAAATACGCCAAGCTGGCAAATCCCCTCGGTTACAGCCAAAGGGTCCCCAAAGGAGAAGGCGACGAGATTCAATCCGATGAAAACAGAGGGGAAGAAGAGGTGTATGAAGACGATGACGAGGGTATTAAACGCAGGCCATCATACACGCCACAGCTGATCAAAGCCAAGTCTGCAAAGTGTTTTGACAAACGCCTGAAGACCTTGCAAGAACTGTGCGAGGAGAATTTCTACGAGGCCGCCATGGAGCTTCTGAAGGAGACGGAGAGGAGTTTCCGCGGCGACCTGTGTTACCTCTACACTCGCCGCCTGGACAAGGCACTGCGCAGGAAGCAGAAAATTGTCAACTTCCTGTTTGAGGCAGATCTCATTGATGACGTTGAGGATGAAGCTGAGACACTGAGACCATTCTGCGCTGTGAATCATGCCATGGACAACTACATGCACTTGAATCCACCTCATATCGTCCTGGGGTCAGAGGCTCTTGAGCTTGATGGATTAAAACCTCAAGGTCCGCTAGGCCTGGCTTGTGAAGCCGCCACTACTCAGGAGCTTGGACTTCTGGGAAGCCATCTGGACTCCTCTCCCTCAGACCAGACCTTGGAGACACAGGAGAGCTCAGAAGGGACCAAAGAAAGCTTTAGCAGCGATAAAAGTGGAACAGATCAAACTGAGAAGCAAGAGAGTCTTGCGAGTATAAATACAGAAGGTCCTGATCCGGACTCTGACTTGACACCAGAACCCGACCAAAACACCTACCCAGAGAGGGAAAGCAGTAGTGAGGACATGGAGACCACTGCTGGGGAGGATGACTGTGATACCGGACAAGACCAGACCCCCGTGTCTTTGCTGGAAGTCGTGTCCGAACTGGAGGCCAGAAAGGATGACGGGTGTGAGATGGGAACGCACTCGGAGCTGCTGGTTCCCATGGATACAGCTTGCTGTATGGCCCAAGAGGGTTTCCTCTATGAGGCAGCTGACCCTGATGCTGTGCCTTACCTGAGTCCAAACTCTACCCTGAATCCCTCTAAGGTTCTGGTGGTCAACCAGGAGCCCCACGCCCTTCATCCCGTCCAGGATGAGTACACAGTGGGTTCCCCGTGCTCAGAAGGTCCACCAGCAGGGCTGGAGCTTCCCGTGGGCGTCTTTGGAGACGCAGCTTCTCGTAGCTCCATGGAGGACGGGTCGGACTGTACCATGAGTGCTTCCACGGGCTCCGACCGGGCCGCCTCGCCGCTTGGCTACGGGGGGTCAGTGACCCTCCATCAGAGGAAAAAAGCTGGACAAGGCGCTTTGAGGTTCGTGCGCCAGTACTCTTTTGCAATGCAAGCTCTGTGGTGTCTGCTGAGTGGCAGGACGCTGGTGGTGCTCGGGGCGGACGAGGGGAGAGTCCGCCGCCTCGTGTCTGCTCTGGCGCTCTTCGTACCCAACCCTGGCAAGAGTGGAGAGAGGGTCCAACCCTGGCTGTCCTGTCCCTTCACCCTCGTCGACCTTCACAGGTGGAAACTTATTGGGCTGCAAAGGTAAGAATCGCTTCAGAATCAAATTACATCTTAACCCTTTTTACTGATTTTAGTATTTAAGATGTACAGTGCTTTGTAAAATATTAAACAAGGGACTTTTACAGATTTTGTCACTTTTCAGATTGAAACGTTGTGTTTTATTTGCATACAACAAAGTCAACCAATCTATAGTTAAACTACCCCTCGTGTGTTTTTAATCTTATGGAAGAGTGGCAAGAATAAATTCCTTACTGAAGAAATCCTGTTTTCAGTTTTCCCCAACAAACTAAGAAGGGAATACAGCAAACATGCGGAAGAAAACACCTGCGTGCAAAAAAGTAGTGGAAAAAATACTGCACCTCACTCTAAACACCACTTCCACTATGACAATGTTTTTCAAAGTGGATTCCACCAGGGGGCGCTGGAGAGGCCTCAAATAGCTGCAGGGAAAATTAGAAAAAAAAAAAAAAATCAAATACATTTCATTCATTTTTTTAAATCATAAAAATCAAATCTGTTTTTCAATCATTACAAAAAAAAGCAAGTTTAAATAACTTATTGAAATTATGTTTGCTCATCCTTCTGATTGGTTGCCAGTCAGATTTATCCAGCTGCTCAGCTCCTCGCGCCAGCTTAGCAACCGTGAAACAGATCCCTGCTGTGGAGGTCACTGCTACCAAAAACCCCTGACGACTCATGGCCAACTAAAATCAGAACGTCTGCAACAGCATTATGCTAACAAATATAATAATTAATGAATGGTAAATAAAAGTGAAGCAAAGGCAAATGATTTGTTCAAACTTTTACAACAAATTCTAAAGTTTGTTTACATATTTTGCAGCATGGTCTGTTGGTTTTCAAAGAGGCCTCTGCCAAGAAGCTAATGCTGTTTGTGGGAAAGTTTGGCAAACACATGCACTATACACTAATATCATAAGGACAGCGTCATCCTGATGGGAATTGAATTCTCCAGCAGGGATGAAGAGGAGATAAAAAAAACCTATCGGAGGCCGAGGAAGGCGTTTACCTTCCAGCACGACAGTGCAATTGCCAGATCTGCAATTCTGCCATTCAAATTGTAGAAAAAAGCAGATTCAAGTGTTGCAATGGCCTAGTCAAAATCCAACCTAAACTCAATTGTGAATCTGAGCTTGACTTGTTTTGCAAAGATTTGGCTAAGAAGTTCAGTTTGTCTAAATGTATCACATGCAAATCCATTCGAATGCACTGAGGTCTGTGGAAATATGTGAGAAAATGTGAAAATGTTCATTGGCTATGAAATCTTTTATGGCAACATTTGCTGCAGAACATGAAACCAAAGCAGTCACGACTTACCTGAAAGAAACCTTGAATTTTTGAGGGCTTTGCGGCGTTTCTGCAAGTGTTAAATCTGAAGCCAATGACATCATCATCTCGCTTCAATCACACCTTACGCCACACTTACTCATCTGCTCTGACTCAGCCCTCGGTGACTCACTCTGACAGCCCTGTGGCTTTTCATGCACATCTGTCAACGTTTCTTTTCTACTCTTTCTGCAAACAGAACCTTGACTTTTTGAACAGGAGAGGATCCTGTGTGTAAAGTTTGTGGTATCCATTTAATTTTGACTTCTGTAAGAACTGTTATTGTTTTAGTATTTTTTATGTTCATAAGCTTTAAAGTACACAGCACATTATTTATAAAAAATGCTAGTTTTGGTAAATTAGTGCGAAAAGAGTTCAAGGATAACCTTCAGACACCAAATGGTGACACGGTGTGACAAATCATTATATCCTTTTTTTTGTTGTTGTTTTTTATCATTGCATTCTTTATGTAAAACCTCTGCAGGAAAATACACTTAATTCTTCATGTATATTTTGTACTATACCATGCATACCTTGTAGTTCAGAGACATGAGAGAAAAATACATTATGACCGACTGTCACCACGACACAACTGCTACTACAAATTAAAATTCATAAAAGAGCAGAATCTTTCAAAGTATTTAAATTTAAATTTGGATATAGAATTTGAAGTTTATATGTATTTATGCAGCTAGGTACTTTCTGAGGTATATGCAGACACTGTTAAATACAGAAAATGTTGAGTAGAAATAATTATTCCACCGTTATTTTGGCGCCCCTTTAGCGTGGCACCCCTTATGCGTCACATATAGTGTATACTTACTTTTTGCACCACTGCTGGGCATGAATGTCATTAAATTTTAGGCTTTAGTAGTTTGATTCAAAGTTTTTACTGTGGTCAGTTGAGCAATGATGTTAATGTTGCCAATTCCGCAAATAAGATTAATAAATTTATGCCAGGAACTTTGTCAAGGCTAGAAAAACTGGTGTTGTCTAAGAGCAACTTGCTGAAGGACCCATCCGTTCGTTCGACCCTGGAGAACAAAAATCACTAACAGCTCTAACTTGATGACTTTTGCTCCCATGATGATTAAATGCAGGGTTAAATTGTAGATGTAATCGTCGTCTCCTCCCTCAGGGTTGCTTCTCCCACCGGCTCCAGCGCCCTCTACTCCTTGTCCCGCTACAGCCGCTACATCTCCATCCTGGATGCCGACATGAAGACCCTGCGCTGCCCTCAGTACCGCGGCCAGCTCCTCGCCAACATGGCTGACCACCGCACCTACATCCGCCGTGGCTCCACCTACTTCCTCCACCTGCAGAGCGTGCTCTGCCGCCTGGCGGCCAGGGCGTTCCTGCTCACCTTCACGCACCACCTCCACCTGCCGGTCAGCCCCACGGAGGGGCCCGAGGCGGTGGAGGCCCGGCGGCGGGGCTTCCTCCAGGAGCAGCTGGGGCTGGACGAGGAGGACGGCCAGATCCTGCTCTACCTCAGCCGGCTCATCGCTCAGCGGTACCTGCAGCCCGCTAACAGCGACGACTGCGCAGCCGTACCGTGTTTTAGTTTTAACTACATCACCAGCGTTTTATATAAAATCTGATTCCCCGAGTGGAAGGGGTGCAGCTGGATCCTTTCCAACACCTCACAGCTGAAATCAACGCTGATACTTTGGGTTCATTCGGACCAGGAGTGATCTACATAAGATCAAAATCTCTGCACTGATTTGTTTTTCTCCATGTTGAACTCTGTCTGCCTCACTGTGCATCTCTGTGATCTCACACCTTCCTCTGGTGGCAGAGAAACCAGAGCTGAATGTCTCTGCCGACTCTTCTCGACACTTCCATATCGGAGCAGATGAACACTGGCCTATGAATACATGTTGAAGCAAAAACAAAACTGGCAAAGAACAGTAGCGTCTGGTTCGACTGCCTATGGCTTTATGGAGCACCCTTTGCAAAGTTACATATAGGGAAAATATCAACAGCAATAATTTGGCTTATTTAGCCTGTCGCAGATTTTTAAAAATGTGCTTGTTCCTTTTTCAAAGTCAATATTTTCACCATGTAATTCTTACATTTATGAATGTCAGTTTCAAACTAAATATGTAATTCACAAACTAGTCGCAAACTACATATTTAGCTTTCAAGTTAAATATTTAGCTGAGAAGCTAAGTACTTGGTTTGAAAACTAAATATCTAACTCAAAATTAAATATTTATTTATCCAACCAAATATTTAGTGGCAAATTAAGTAATAAGCTATGAAGCTAAATATTTAGCTTCAAACAAAATATTTATTTTCCAAACTAAATATCTAGGAGTAAAGTTAAATATTTAGTTATTTAGCCAGCTTAATATTTGCTATATTGCTAGCTTACTAACTAAATATTTAATCTGAAAATTAAATATTTAGATGGCAAGCTAAATATTTGCTATATGGCTAGCTTTTGTTAAATAGATATTTAATTTGAAAGTTTAATATTTAGATATTTCACAAGCTAAATATTTGCTAGCTTGCTAACTATTTAATCTGAAAGTTATTTGTATATTTAGCGAGCTAAATATGTGCTATATTGCTAGCTTGCTAACTCGATATTTAATTTGAAAATTAAATGTTTAGTTTGTCTCCAACATGGTGCAAATATGACTTTGAAAAATGAGCACCCAATGTTTTACTTATGACAAGCTAAGTAAAAGAAAAAAATGCTGTTCATTTTTTACTGTGTAACTTCACAAACGGCGCCGCATATGTGTTGACAGCTTTTATACCCTGCGCACTTCATGTAAACATGTTTTTCAGCACCGCAGCGCCACGTATGCTGACATTTTCTGTTGGCCGAGAACAGACGCTGTTCGTGAAACTCGGGCAGCTGGCTTTAGAAACTAGCCCCTCTCTTTGGAACCGTCCATCTGTCCCTTCTATGATTTTACCTTCACTCGCCAACATTTTTTTTTTCTTTTTAGTTTTTTTTTTTTTTTTTTACAGCCCACATTCCTTCAGAAACGGACAAGCGTCCATTTTGTTACAAACGGCAACACGTTGTACGACCGTTTCTACGTAAATTTAAGCTTTTGATTTCAGGGCCACGACGTCCGAGGTGGTGGAGAACCGAATCCTGTCGGCCAGGAGAAACGTTACCGATCAAATAGTTGAGACCAGCCGCTGGAGTGCATTTTCTTGACTATTAAATAGGAGAATTTTAAAGCTATTTAACCTAAATGTATTGAATTTCACTGTTGTCTTAAAGCTGTGTGAGAGTGATGTGTTGTCAGCATGAGACAGTCTTGTCAGAGTGATCACTGTGTTGATAATATTTCAGTTTTGTTACAATACGGTTTACTGAAAGCAATTACTCTTTTAATACTCTTAACAATAAACTTTTATTTCTTGTGCCAACAGAAGTTTAATTCAGGACACCTGCTCGACTTTTTAACTACAGATGCACCGATCAGGCTTTTACTGGCTGATACCGATTTTTGGTTTTCCTTGAAATCAGCAATGATGTTTATTATTTGTTAATTTTTTATTTATTTATTTTTTTTTTGCATTTCTTTTGTCTTAGAGCTGAAACACATTCAAAAGGGGGGAAATATGTGCTGCAGGTTATTTGATTTGAAATCTGCCAGAAAATGAAGAAGTAACCCAGTTTTATCCTGATTAAATTCATATTGGTGGATCTTAATAAATGAGAATATCAACCAGTCACTAATTTCATTAAAAATGTAACACAGTAATTTTTCTTAGGTGTTTATGGGTGTTAATTTTTATGATTATGGCTTTAACCCCCCCACCCCCCAAATACAACTTCTCTCAAAATTTTAAATGTCACATGATGCAGTAATTCACGCTCCTGTTGCGTGAATTACTGCATCATTGAGCCGGCTGCTTTCACTTGGGACTTGGGCAGCAGATTTTTCCACATGAGCTTTTTCTGTGTTGCTTCTGTACATGTTTTTTATTTAGTCAGTTTTTCCTTCCACTCAACTTTCCATTAATGTTCATGGTTATTATAGGCTTCTGTGACGCATCTTCAATGACTATCAGGTCAACATTTTGAAGGTCACAATGTGACATTTCTGCAATAAAATATATTTTATGTCATATCTAAAATATATTTTTGAATTATCAGCTACAAACCACAATCATCAAAATGAAGGGGGGGGGGGGGGGAAGTTTGAAATTTGAATATTTTTGCTCCATTTTACCGTCTTCTTGAATTTTATAAATTACACTTTTCAAGGACATTCTAATTTATTGAGTCATGTTATTTCCATAATGCTAATCATTTCTGATTTTTTTTTCTAAAATTAAGCTTAAGGCGAGGTTTTAGTATTATTATTTTAGTGTGTTTGATCTGCTGATCACTGAGCCCTGCAGGGACATAGCAGTCGATTCTCTGGCCAATTAATTAGTGCATCTGCTGGTGGCCCATTGCAAGATAAACACTCCCAGTTTAGGATTTAACTTTTAAAAGTGGCTTATCTTTGCGTTTTGTGCCGTCTGTGATTCTGTGGGATGGTAACTACATGACTGCATGGTCAGAGTTTAAAGGTCACTACAAGCAAGGCTTTGAACTACTACTTAAGTGGATATTGGTGCAGCATGTGATGAAGAGATGCGCCTGATTTATTGGGTTTTTGTCCTAGTCATGCAAAAAAAAAAAAAAAAAACTACAAAGAACAAAAAAAACAACAAAAAAAAACCCACCCTGAATGTAATCTGAGAAGCCATGCCGCTGTGTCCTTATGTTGCCGTATTCTGTCTGCTTTTTGTATCTCATCAAACTGCAGGTTCGGCCCTGTGAGGAATTTGAATAAAGCACGATGTGAATGTCTTCCTGTTTGTCTTCGTGTTTGTTTTTGTTTTGTTTTTTTGCCTGCCGCTGCTCGGGGTTTGTGTGTGTGTGTGTGTGTGTGTGTGTGTTTTTAATACCTTGTGGGGACCGAAGTCTGGTCCCCACAAGGGGAAACGCTGTTTTTGGGTCAGGGACTAAGGTGTGAATTGAGTTTGGGTTAGGATTAGGATAAGGGTAAGGTTTAGGCTGTGGAAATGAATGGAAGTCAATGGAAAGTCCCCACAAAGATAGCCACACAAACGTGTGTGTGTTCAGATGAAACTTCCCCTCCAGTAAAACCAACAGCCTCGTCTGTGTGACTTTCTCCTCAGCGATGACGGATGTGCAAGCATCTGAGGTGCCATGAATAATAAATGTTCATCATCTGCGAAACACTTCTAATTGCCCTGAGGGAGCAGCGGATGTGAAGGTGTTTTGATGTGAAAACAAGTCTGCAACAATATGATCCGTCCTCACAGCGCGATGCTGCGCTAAGGAGGCGTGTGGGCGACGGTGCGCAGCAGCTTGAGATGTAAACTACAGTTTGCCTCAGCAGTTAATGGCTAAAAACCGAATCTTCCACTCTGATTTGTGAGCGATGGGAAGGAGGAGATGCTCGTTCAGATTTGAATCGATTGGGGATGCTGAGAGAAGGAGTTGATGCACTTCATCTCAACTTCCCTTCAGGTTTTGTATTGATCATGTAGTCAGACTGTGTTTGGAAGCCATTTTAAACTAAATGTCACCACCACATGAACAGAAGTCCTTTTTATGTCCCTTTTTGCTGCCTAGAAACCAAACTCTGTTTTGTCAGCAGCTCTCCTGGCTTTCTGAGAGCTTCAGAGTTTATTCAGGATTCAGATTGTTTTTTTAGTGTTGGTTTTTGCTCAACTTTCAGATTATTATTACTCTTTTAATTCAGTAGAGTAAGATCATGAATATCCTCAAAGGACTGGTTTTGCCACAATATATCAAATAAAAGAAACTATTAAATTATTCTAAGATTAATATGTAACATCTTTCACATTGTTGTAATTTCACCTTACACAAATAAAATCGGGTTTGATTTGATAGCTTGAAGTTCTGCTTCTGTGGCCTTCTGAGGTCTTGAGGGCCACAGAATCAGCTATGATGTGCCTGTTTTGGCCCTCGAGCCTCGAGTTTAACACGTGGTTTAAATCATTCAAGCATGAATGATCACATGCAATGATTTAGATCCAACTTTTTCCTCAAATACAAATGTTTTTCCCCCTGGTAAAATACTAAAATAACGAAAACAGTGACAACAGAATTTGAAGAATGCTTGAAAAAAAAAAAAATAAATAAAAAATCTAGACACGCCCCTGCCCACAAACCCTCAGTTATACTGTAAATAGCTGTTGTGGTGAATTATGGGTCATGTAGTGTGGTACTGGCAGCCCATTAATAATAAATATGTGAGCTTTTCTCCCGGCCCTCATGTAGCCTGACGTCACTGAGATAGATCAGCACACATTAGTGCACAACTGTGAAGAGGAAAACAAATATTTGGTTTTCAATGGTTTATAGCAAACAAAACCTGAAATATTTTATCTTTATTTGTATTTAGTTCCACCAGGTCAATACTTTATATGGCAGAAAACATTTCAGAGTCAATAGCATAGATTTATTACACCAGGCTGTTGATGGTGAGATGAAAACAAAGTGAAAGTTTTACTGATCAAAACAAAACAAAAAACCCCCCAAAACAAACAGAAAAATCTTAAAATTGAAAACTTAACAGAAGTTTTTTTTTTTTTTTAATCTCTTAATAACCACATTTTTTTATTTTCATTTTTGTTTGGTAGCAGATTGCACCAGTAAGTTTAATTCAAAAACATTTAAACATTTATTAAATTGAGATGATAAAGTTTTTAAAAACAACCAAACAAGAGAGACTCGTATCTTGTAGCCTAAAAATAAATTTGAAATTATTTACTTTCTTTATGTAGAAATCAGGCTAGTACAATCCATTAACATATTGTGCAT